TCCCCTACATTGTAGGTGTTTGCGGAATGGAGTGCGATGGGCAGCAGCAGTAATACATAATTTAGGAAAATCAGTTTCGAAATCGCCATTGGTAACGAGTTTTTAGGGCATTTCGATCTTCAGAAGTCGACGCGACGGAGGAGAGTCGAGGAGAGAGAGTGTGTGTAGTATTTACCATACGAGTCAACGATTGGGCGTGGCTGTTTGGGCTGATGATGAAGAGAAATTATAATTCCGTTACGTTTAGCCCAATTTGGGCCTTTTTTAGTTTGGTGAGTGTTCTATAATGGGAAATTTACATCTATTTTACAAGACTATAAAAATCTATATATATATAATTACTAGCTATTGTACATTTAATTAAACCTAATAAATTATACCTACATGGAAGTTTCCCGCCATTTTCCGTTACTATTCATTTTATTTCTGTATTTTTTTTCTTTTTTAAAAACAAAACATTTTGAATGATAGATGACTAGAATAAAAAAGGTAATTAATTAATTATGAATTAATAACAAATTAATGCTGTTTCTATATTATTTTAAGCAAGTTAATGATGTTTCATATTTTTTTAAGCATATTAATAGTGTCAACAATAATCATTATCTATATTTTTTTATGTATAGAAAATTAAACGAAATAAATAAAAACAGATAAAAAATTACATAAATTACAACCAACTTAAGAAATAAATTTTAAAAAAAAATAAAATTATCCATCTCCTGTCCATTCCTGAAAAACAAAACAAAACAAAAAATCAGCCAAAATAATTGAGTATAAATAATATATTATAATTCCAAATGTGCAGATATTACATTTACAGCATATAAAGATGTGAGAATCTGAAATTCCAAACTATTACGTTTAAAAATTTAAATCCCATTATTTATCTCATCTCATAACCAAAATAATAATTTAATATTAATTAACCTTCTTTTTTTTGCTAATATCATAACTATAATAAAAAATAAATATTAAATATCCAATTATTTGCAATTCTCCTAACCGTCACATTCAAGTGTTTCAGTCAAAGAATCATAATCCCATTATTTTTTCTCATCTCATAAATACTAATAAAAATTGAATATTAAATGTTCTATATTTTTGGTAAAGATCACATTAATGAAAATATAATATAAATAATCTAAATATTAAATATCTGATTTTTTAATCAAATTAAATCAAATTACTCTATTAACAATTAAATATAAAATGATGTTGGTCAAAGCATGAATACAATTTGCTTTAATTTGTCAATCATCATTTATTTAAATTGCAATCATCATTTAAATTAATTAATTATATTAAATCCTTTTTGCTTATTCACAAATCCTATATAAATAGTCAGAGAAGAGAATAAACAATCACTCCACTCCACTCCATCTTCTACTCTAGCAGAAAATACACGAGCCAAAAACACAATTTTTCTATTTCAAAATTCTCAAAAACATCATGATTTCACACTTTGAAAATTTAACTTACTTGGCCAAAAACAAAAAAATGGCTACAAAGCTGAGGTTGGTGAGATATTTTCCTAAGTTTTACAAGTCGAACAAAGATAGCATTAGAGAGCTACAGTTTGTATTTCATGATGTAAAGGTACTTTTTTGTTCAACTTATTATTGTAAAACATTTACATGTGTAAAAATAATAATTTACTAACGATATATTTTGTTATTTTTTTAGGGACAACGAATTCATGGTTCGGCGCCCGGTTGGTTGGCAAAATAATTCAAAGACTTTAACCTTACCGAAGGACACGTGTATGTCATTTCAAATTGGGGCCTCGAGGAGGACAAGAATGCCTTCAAATTAACCGAATCAAGTCACAAGCTTGAGTTCGGTAAAGAGACAAAAATGTATGACGTGGTTGAAAACAACTACCCAAGGTTAATGTTCAACTTCAAAAGCTTCAACGAGCTATCCGATCCTCAAACAATTGATTCAAGCAAAATATTTGGTAATTTTTTTATCTTCATGGACCAAAATATTCTCTCTCTTGTGCTACAATGTACATCTTAAATTTCACTGTCTAATTGTTTAATTTTTTAGATTTGATTGGACGTATTGTCATGGTTCAAAGCATACGGACAACCAATTCAAATGGAGTGGAAAAGAAATTCATCGATGTGGTTTTAGAAGATGTTGAGTAAGTTAAACATCATAAGCAATTTGTTATTTTTCAAGGAAATATGATTTTGTTATTTACTAAAAATTCATTATCTATAATTTTGTCTAGGGGGCGCCATTTGACTTGCACATTGTGGGAAAGATATGTGCAAGTCATTGTTGATGCCTTGAACAATTCTCCGGTGAACAACTTGCGTGTAGTAATTGTTCAATTTAGCCGAGCAAGGGCTTTTGAGGACGGTAAGATCAAATTGATAGTTTTTTTTAAAACAATTACAATTTATATTATTCTCTAAATAATTTTTTATCTCCTTTAGGATCTATAAAAGCTGGAAACATTTTTGATGCTACTAAGCTTATCATGGGTGATGTACCCGAAATTTTGGACTTCAAAGAAAGGTAATGACTTTAAATTATTATATAAACTTTCTTATTTTTTCTTAATATACTTTATTAATTGATTAATATATTGATTTTTTCAAAAATTATTGGTTGAGTATAAAGGTACAATACACACCCAAGGCCAACGGAGTCAACATTCCAACATGTGAGGCCCTTCATATCTAATATTGGTGAAGATTTAGAGTCTGGAATTTCTCCAATAATGTGTGCTGCTGATTTCTTGAAAGCCAATGAGGTAGAAATCATATTATAAACTAATTAATTAATACATATGAAACCATTAAATCTTAAAATTTCTTAATTAATATTCAGATAATTATATGATATATTATTTATTTATTATTTTCAGGAAAGTAATTTTTGGATATATGGCAACATCATTGACATATCCGACAATTTTTTCTTCAAATCTTGCCCGGAATGTGTTCGAAAAGTGGAGGCCAAAGGAGAGAGTTTTTGGTGCAACTATTGCAAGGACTCGATTCCTTTCGCAATTCTTAGGTAATTGTTTATCTCATTTCATAAATATCATACATATTTATTTTATCTACTAATATCTTAATTTTAAATGTTAAGGTACAAGCTCCACATTTCAATTGTGGACGACACTGGAATCTTACCACTTCTGTATTGGGATAAAGTTTCAAGAGAGATGATTGGAAAATCTTGCGAAGAAGTTGTCAACGACATGTTCAAGGCATGCACCTATATTTGTACTCTAAATGCACTAATGATTAGTTAAATTTCAAAAGAATTTATTATTCTAATGATGTATTATATTCTATTATGTAGGAAGATGATGGATCTCTTTTGCCAAGTGGAATTGAGCTACTGAATGAAAAAGCATTCATGTTTAATGTGTCAAAAAAGAAGGATCAATTTTGATCTTACAAAGGTCCATTTACGGTAGCTCGCATTACCGCTGATCCTAATTTGCTCAATCGATTTGGACCTTTGCCAATAACTTCACAGGTTATTACCTAATTAATTCTACATATAATATATAAAATTATATTTCTTGCTAATTTAAATTTTCATATAATGTAGGAATCAAATGTTGAACTGCTCAGCCCAATCCGGGCTGTAGAAACTAAAGTGAACAGCCCAAAAAGGGCTGTGCAGGCTGAACTGAAGGATAACAGCACAATATGTGCTGCACATTCTAAAATGAACAGCCCAATAAGGGTTGAAGATGATGAAGGTTACAACCCAATAAGGGCTGTAACAACTGATCTGTACAACCCAAACAGGGCTGTCAAGGCTGATGTTCACAGTCCAAACTGGGTTGCTGCAAATAGTGAAACTGGTTGTACACTTATTGCTGGAAATGGCTCCAAAGAAAAGATTAAGAAGAGAGAACAAACAGAGGTGCTTGGAGAAGGCTCAAGCAATTCAGAGGAGCCAAAAGGGCAGAAGAAGATAAAGATTGAAAAA